GGCAGGCGCTTATTGTGCCCAATTTGCATAGGCTACGTTTCAAAACGCTCTGTAAAAACTGCATATGCTGCATCTGAAAGACGACACTTAATTAAGCTTTCATTTATGCTGCCGCGGTTGTGCAGTTTGCGGAGGTATTCTGCCCACGGACATGCTCCCCTGAACTCCAAAATCACAGCTGCACGGCGCTGGACGTGGAGGACGCGGTTCCTCGGTGGATTGGTTGATAGATTCTGTTTAACTTCAGCTCTTTGTGAGTTAAAACTATCCCATCACTTTTCTCTGGGTCCAGCCGATGGACCGACCGGTCGTGCCACACATTTTTTCAGACTGTCCCCATCTGCGGGCAGACTCTCTTACGGTAGACGGACAGTCTGAAGCTGACAACGGACTGCCAATGGAATGCCAGCGCGCTTCCACTCGCGACCACGACTGAACCATAATTTACCCCCGATTATTTCAAACAAATGGAGGGCAAATTATGGTTGGCAGTAAACGGGGACGGGTTAGCTCATCACATCTCAGTAGGACGATTACAAAACTCGCCTTGTACCGGAAGGTCGACCAGTGACCGGACTCCTGGTGCGCTACATTGCCATTTTACGCATAGGTGACAAATTTGGCTGAGCACTGAGAATAGGAGGCCAAGACATTTTTTATTTATTTTTAACCTATGAAAAAAAGAACAAAATGAAGCATAAGATTGAGCACCATTACCTGAATTTCATGGATTCTGCCAAACCCGTCCTTCCAAAAGAACTCGATCAAGTTGGACAGGGTGTTCGGTCCGGGCATGTCGTTCAGGGTCTTGATTTGAGTTTTCTCGCTGACCTCCTCCGGTTTGATCATCCTGTTGGGCATGGTCTCTTCTTCTGTTGCAGAGATCCCCAAAGCCTCGCTGGCTGCTGACTTGTGTAAGGAACGCACAACGTAGAACAGCTGCTTATTCAACTGGTTGCTCTGAAAGTTCTTCCTGCATATCTTCGTGAAATTATTGAAGACTGCCATTGTTGAGATGCTTTTTTCCGCCTTTGCGTAACCGAGAACTATGTGTGATAAAAATAAAAACTTTTGCAAAGTCTTTTTTTGTAACTTCACATCAGCAGAAAATGTACGCTCTTGGCTCGTGCAAACACAACACTCCCTGTGTGGTAGTGAAATGTTAGACAGGGACAGTATCGTGGATCGCTTTTAAATAGTTGCTTGTACAACCTCAGAAGAAGAGGATTGGACGATCGCCTCAAAAGAAGGGAGGGATAACTCTTTATTCGGAAATGGGCGCAGTACAACGTGCTAAAAGTTCGTTACATCACACCAATCAATCATCCTCTGGGACTGCGCACACCGCCTCCCCTCCGAGCGCAAGGGCGTGCGCGTCACTCAGCCCCCCCACACACACGCAAAATAATGTGATAGAAGCCACATGATTGCAGAAAATTCGTCTCAAATAAAGAATAAACCTCACGTACTGCTGATGTAAGCGCATGAGAGAGCCCCACAAATCATCAGCTGTTTACAAAAGTGTAAGCGCTTTGTGTTCAAGTCCAAAAATTGTGTTTAAAACAAAGAAAAATATGAGAAACTTTATATGACTTTGTGCAGACAGATTGCAAAAGTTGGACTTTACAGAGGCATGAGATTTATAGGCGTTTTTGCATTTGAACCCTGCAGGCAGGGTAAACCTTACAGAGAACACAAGTGGTATACGAGTGCCAGGTGGCTTTTGAGCAAATGGAAACATTTGATTAGTTCTCAGAGAATTTAAATGTTTAAAAACTTAGGAGCAACACTTATTAATGCAGACTGTCCCTGCAATCGCGCGAGTTTCAGAATGAAGGACATAAACCTGTAGGCTTAGTATCTTGATGTTATCTACGTGTGTGATTAATGTACAACAGCCAGATGGCCCATCCTCAGTTTTCTCAAGAGACACGTGGATTCCAATCTATCTAATTACTTTTCACTCTCTCCAAGCCAATAAGCCTTGGGTCAGCGGAGGTCACAAAACGGCAATTAAGACCATGCCAAAAACACAGCCATTCAAGGCACACGTGTCCTGTGCTCCAGCAGAGGTTGGGTGGGCAGAGGTGGATATTTTCCCACAGTCGCTCCTTTTGCAGCTTAGACAAGGCATCAGGCTCTAGATGTTCTTTTTGGAATATCTTCAAGTCACCAACAAAGAAAGAATTATCCCCCTCCTCTCCACGCCTGGCTTTTATCCAAATGGAGTTTTTTTTATTCCCTTTATTCATTCTCAGAAGAAATCATGGGGACATTGCTACACAATCATGAGTTAGTCAGATTAAATAATGTCTTCTGTAGTAAGTGGGTGCTATCATGGCCATTAATTGCTGCCAGAAGAGTATTCACTGGATTTCTTTAGATTTACTAACTCATTTTGCATATTGTCCTGCTTCGTTTTGTGACTTTGAGACTTTGTCTGTTGTCTGCTGTGTATATTACTGCAAGTCTAAGGAGAATAAAATATTCATTTTACAAAACATATTTAATAACATTTTACAGAATGAACTGACATAAAACATATCTGTGTGGTTGGCTCTCAGGAGCAGCTTTATACACATTCTAGTCAACTTTACAAAAAGCTATGCTGTTAACCAGCATATGAGAATTAGCTATAAAATAACAAACGTGTCCTCATGCAGGTCAAAGCAGCATTAGTCAAATTTTTTACCATTAGATAACCTGTGTTATCCAACAGTAAATAAGATGGTTTATTCATTTAGATGCCAAAAGACTAAGAGCTGATCTTTTGCTGCTTACAAAGCTAATGTGATTTATATGTCATATGCAAGTAGCCATCCACTCTCATCCAATTTACAGACATTGAAAAGCTTTACCACTTAGTGACAGATTATCCCCGATCATTGCTCCATTCAGACGCGATGGAGTTCAGCTGGGCTTCAAACCTGCTCTTTGACGCATACTTCAATGCCCCAGTTTTGTCTTACTGCCCATTACAGCACAGAACGTTTTTAGGTATCAAGGTGTCAAACACGTAGATCTACTTTCTGAAGCGCTTGAACAGTGGATGAACGCTTTTGCCCGCTGCAAGAGCTTTGCTGCTTCTGCTCTGATATTCCATGTAGATGGTGTCATCTGCTCCGGACATGGAGCTCATGGTGCCGGTTCGCCTTGAGAACTGATCAGGAAACATAGAGAAAGAAGAAGTGAGAGTAATGAAATGTACAAAATATGCAAGTTACCATCAGCAGGGGTGGGGAGCACAGAGTAACTCATGACATAGTGCAAAAATAATAATAATAATAATGACAAAGACATTATAGTACAGCAAATCGGTGAGCATTACAGCAATACAATATACAACAACATTTGTGTAGGGAAGGGGGGGTGGTGAACTTTCATTAACCTTCATTTGGTAAGCCCATAAGGAGCGATTTCGAAGTGACTCTGCAGTGTCAATATTTTGTTGACCCTCCAAACATCCTTTCTCTACAAATGTCTTAACAGCTGGTGAAAGTCCTCACCTGAGGTCGTGCGCCCACCTCCCCTGCCACCACCTCCTCCTCGGCATCTATGTCAGAAGCAGCGAGAACCTTCTGAAGCAGCTGCTGTTGCTCATCTCTGGTGGAGAACATCAAGTCCTCTTCCTCCATACCTGCCAGCTTTGTGATTACCTGTCACAGAGGAGGAAGAGCACCACTTAGAAATCCTATTTGCACATGAACAAGACTGAAAGTTGTGTCATGAATGAAATAAACATCATTAACACGGGTGGGAGGGTGTGATAACTAGTGATGTGCCGTTCCTTATCGAGGTTTCAAAGCTTGTGTCGAGTAATGGAGGGGGTGTTTCCGCGATGCGCGTAACGAGGCTTGCTTCGTTTATGGGAGGAGCTGAAAATGGTGACGTCCGAAGCCTCGCTGCCCGGCTGTACCACGTGACTGGTTCAGGAAGTGGTTCAAACTTTGCCGCGAGCTATGACAGAGATATAAACCCCTTCACTCAAAATGTGGGTGTTTGATGGAGAGTTGCGGTTAGTGAGAGTTTGGAGACAGTTTGGAGGTTTATGAGAGTGAGGAGAGAAAGTCAGGAGAGAATGGAGCCAGCTAAGAAGAGGAGGATGTCCTCCCCTGTGTGGGAACATTTTGATCTTATTCCTCCCAACAAGGTATGTAAATTTCTACAGAAAATGTATTTTCATAATACTGATGGTGCAATACAATTTATGTTAAGTGGCTTTACTTTTGTACAAGGTGAAGTGTTTGCTATGTGCCAGGGAGCTGGGATATAACAACAACACCTCATCCATGCTTAGGCACTACAGAGCTTTGCATGAGAATAAGGGGAACACCGATTGTGGAGCAAGACCAGGTGAGCCATCAAATGCAATGATAATATAGCATGCAGTAATGTTACTAAATTATATAACAATATTATACATCTGTAATAAGTTACGTGTGTGATATTTATATTTGTGCTTTGTTTTTATTGTCTTTCCTCAGAAGAACAATCTCAAATACATGAAGACCTGGTTAGCATGGTGATTGAGGACCCAATCATTTAGCATTGTGGAGGACAAAGGATTTAAAAGATTTGTTAAATCATTAAATCCTAGCTATGTTCTCCCCACTAAAAAGGCCATAAAAGCAGTGAAAATTTAGTTTTTACTGAATAAAATGTGAACAGGCAGGACTGAGGCCTCAGTGTGTAGCTGTCCATACCTCAACGTTACAACCAACGTGAACCAATTGGATGAAAAGCTTCAGTGCTTCATGAAGCTTCATCTGCCCATCACTAGTGATAACAGTTAAGGGACTGATTTTCCACTTTATTGTGAACCTTTCAGCTGCTGTAAGACTTTGCAGGCACTTTCTTATTCAAATACAATTCAATGAATGTGCCTCTAAAGTCAGAGAAGTAGTCTTTTCTCTTGTTCTATCTTTGTTTTGTCCACGTAAACCAGGGGTGGGCAATTCCAGGCCTTGAGGGCCGGTGTCCTGCAGGTTTTAGATCTCACCTTGGGTCATCACACCTGAATCACATGATTAGTTCGTTACCAGGCCTCTGGAGAACTTCAGGACATGTTGATGAGCTAATTTAGCCATTTAAATCAGCTGTGTTGGTTCGAGGACACATCTAAAACCTGCAGGGACACCGGCCCTCAAAACCTGGAGTTGCCCACCCCTGATGTAAACAAACCTAGGCTTGACTGCTGCCAGAATTGCTTAAAGGTCTTGATTTCCAGTGTGTGTCTTGGAATTCTTCTCACAACATATGCCACCAGACAGACAGGAAACAATGAAACCAAATTCTTTAAAATATGTAACATCAAGCTCAAACTTGTTTGGGCAAACTATAATTGAAGCTGCTACTATGACAAAACAAAATGAAACTGGGACATTCAGATTTTGTTCCATAAGTCAAAAATCTTCATTCATATAAGTTTAACTGTACAATACTCAAATGAGAATTTCCACTTTGCAATATCCAGTCAGATAACAGTTTACATCCATTTTTGTTCAGACTAGACCATGATATCATGATTTTGTCTCCTTAAACTGGATAAGCAGGAGAAAATGGTTGGATAAGGGGATATTTGTGCCGAAGTTTGTTAAAATGGTCAAAATAGAATCCACGAAATGTTTAGCAAATGTGTTTTCTGACGCCACACAAATTATGTTAACCACAAAATTCTTTGAGATGTTCAAGAGACAGGGATGGACGTACCCTAATGGACCCTCTCGCAATCGGGTGGCTTTCCTATGTTTTGTTAGGCATAGCAGCTTTTTAGAAGACATCATGATTCATTCAATATTTATTTATTTTTTAGCAGCCATTTATGAATGCCGTTCCCCATAAGCCCCAGGTCTTTGAAGGCCGTGGCTTAAGAGGATAGAGAAGAGTGATCACTGAAGAAGGTTTTAGCAGGTTAAGTCTTTCAGTGAGACGGGTAAAATCAAATTACAGGGATTTAAACACTTAACTACTTATTCGTGAGAGCTGTAGTTTTGACTATGCTTGGTCAAAGAATTCAAATTGATATCAGGATATGGAAATAAAAGTCAAGGCTTAATATATTTCAGAGAACAGTTGGACTCACTAGATTCAGGAATCGGGTTTTTAAAAGTTGAGTGGCATAAACATTTACCAGCTGTGAGCACTCATCCTC